TTCAAGTGAGTGTTTGAAAATTTTTGTTATCAAACTATGATATGGTTTGCATCTTTTAACTTCTATTGTTATCAAGCTTTTGAATTCTGTTCTCTGTTTTTATTAGGATTTTGACCAGCAAAGCAATTGAAGCCAATGATGGGAAGCCCTTACCTCTATATCAGAAGGCATTGTGTGGGCTCACTGCTGGTGCTATTGGTGCAACTGTTGGCAGCCCAGCAGATTTAGCACTTATCCGTATGCAGGCTGATGCCACTTTACCAGCTGCTCAGCGCAGAAATTATTCAAATGCTTTCCATGCCCTCTTCCGCATTGTTTCCGATGAAGGGGTTTTGGCACTCTGGAAAGGTGCAGGCCCTACTGTTGTAAGAGCAATGGCATTGAACATGGGGATGCTTGCTTCTTATGATCAAAGTGTTGAATTTTGCAAGGATTCACTTGGTTTTGGTGAAATGTCTACCGTGCTAGGTAATATTCTTTGCATGCATGATTTTTGTACTTGTATTAATTAGTATGTTATTTTTATGTTTTTTATGGTGATTTTGTACATTGTCTCATTTAGTTAAAAATATTGTTATTTCATAACTATTCTGTTGAATTATTTATGTAATGAGATCCTTTTTCTAGTTATGCATGCATTCATTTTCGTAGCACGAGTATGGCATAAACAATCACCTGGTGTGCATATTACATAGATACAAGGGCAGAGCTAGGATTTTAGGTATGGAAGTGTCAAAATAAAATATATTAGAATATACTTGAAAATAATATAAACAAATAAGGGCTATAGAATAATAAATAATTCTTTTTTTTTTGGGTGGTGGTGGGGGGGGGGGGACAAAATGCATGTTTCTCAGGAAATAAGCCTTAAATTCAATATTTAAAATATATTAAAATTTTGTAACTAAAATTTAAACTCTGTCAGACTTTGGAGGTGCATGCCCCAGCTATGCTGTAGTTCAGGCCCTGCATTGGGTCAGTCAAAGCTTTGAAAAGTTGGTCTTATTCAAGCATGTTTTTTCCTTTTCGTTGTTAACATGTGGATTTTGTTTTCTGCTGTATAAGCAAGGCATGCTGATTGATTGAATTCTGACATTCCTAACACCATGTGGCAAAGATTTTGTCTTAACCATCAAGCATGATGTGTTACAATGATTAACAGCTTCTTTTATCCTCTCTATTCCTAGGTGCAAGACTAACAGCTTTTATCCTCTCTATTCCTAGGTGCAAGTACTGTTTCAGGATTTTTTGCTGCAGCTTGTAGTCTTCCATTTGATTATGTCAAAACTCAAATTCAGAAAATGCAACCTGATGCCCAAGGAAAGTATCCATACACTGGCTCCATGGATTGTGCCCTTAAGACACTCAAGTTAGGAGGACCATTCAAGTTTTACACTGGATTCCCTGTCTATTGTGTTAGAATTGCGCCTCATGTTATGGTACATCCCTCCCTCCCTCCCTCCTTCCATGTGTGCTTTTGTCTTTCTTTCAATGCATCTTGTCTGATTAGATACGGGTGTATTAGTTTAATGTTTTTAGATCTATGCATAGAGTTCTTATTGCTGAATGTTTGCATGTGCAGATGACCTGGATATTCCTTAACCAGATTCAAAAGCTGGAGAAATCTGTTGGGTTGTAGTTTTCCGCGGAGATGGGATTGGTGTCAAGTCAGGCACTCAAAATAATGGAATTTGGTTGAGTTGTAGCTTCTGTCTGTTTTTTGGCGGTTCACACCCTGTTAGACTCAAGTCAATTTTAAGTAGGATTTCTGAATTTTATGCCATATTAGCACCTTTTAGGGTGGGGAAGGATTTGGATTTTACACAAACCCCTTTTGAATTCAATAGAGTTCGGCAAGACGAAGTAAAATAAATTGTTTACTTGATAAACAAGTATTATGGATAAATTTTTATACCTTCCATGAAACATAAATCTCAGAATAAGATTGACCCCTGTCTGTGCTCTTAAGGTTTTCCATGCTGGTCTTGTATTTATTTTCACTCGGAATTTTCTTTCTTTATGGAGAGGGTAAGGGGTGTTTAAGGGTGGTGGTTAGAATCTACCAATTAGGAAGCATGCTGCTGTCACAAGCCATGATATGAATTGGGTGTGGATAAAGTTCTTGCTGCAATTTGGCATTATTCTTTTTGCCAGCTCTCCAAATTGGCAATGCCTTGGAGCTTTTTCACGTCTCTTTCACAGTTTCACTGTCGTTGTGAATCATGGAGTGCTGCCATTCAGTTACTGGATACTGGATAGCAGTCCCTTCCACAGTTTCACTGTTGTTGTAAACCATGGAGTGCTGCTTTCAGCAACTTAACTGGATTGCTACAAAAGAATGCTTTTAGGGTGAGGTTGAGGCTGCTCAGCATTGCACTGTTGATGGAGACTGAGTATGAAAGTAATGGCTTGTGGAGATGAAGATAGTTTAAAAAAAGATACAAGTTTTCTGATAAATGACAGTTACTTACCCGTACTTAAATTAAAATCTTAAAAAATCAGGAGCCAAATCAAGCCAAAGAGCAGTCACCATTACTGTAATGGCTTTTCTTAACCTAATGGAATATAATCACTTAACAATAATTAGTTATTTGGACATCTTCAAATTCATACTGGCAATGCAAACCCTTATCTATTTAAATTTAATTCACATAATTCTACTTATTATGATGATTTTAGAAAGATAAAGGTAATGTTATTGATATATTTTCAAAAAATATAATGAAATGAATTATACAAAATGCTATGGATCACCTCCAGAAAAAGGTTCTGTCATGCTTCCCTTAATTAATGGTATTTACCTTGTTTATCGTTAAATCCTTATTTTTTTTCCATTTTATTTATTAAAAAATAATTAATAATATTTACCAGATTATTTCCTTAATATATATATATATATTAATATTCTTCAATATCTCAATTTAAGCATGTCAATTTTCCTTAACTATGTTTAGATAATACCTATACATTATATTATATAGAAAAAAAATGAATGTTGCAGGTTAATCATCACAAATAAATTTATTAAACTATAATGAACATTGAATGACAAATATTTTAGATAACAAAAAGTGTAGAATATGTAAAATATCTTATTTGTGGTCAATGAGTTATAAGAAGATAAAAAAAGTAAGAATGATCAATCAGTAGCCTATCCTTTTCATGTATTTAAAAAAGAGAGAGACTATTTTAGATAATCAAAATATTTAAAAATAATTTATCTTCATATTTTTTTAAACATGATGTAGCACGGTAAATTAATCTAATAATTTGTCAACTTAGAACTTGATTTGAGTTGAGCTGAGTTTATAAGAGTTGATTTGATTAAATTTGATTGATTTATTTAAATTTTAAGTAAGATTTATCTTAATTGTTTTTAAAATTAAAGTAATTTTTTTTAAAATATTAAAACCACGTAATTTTAATATATTTAATCCTTAACCCCAGTCTTGGACCAGATCATAGCCCTGGGAGCCTAGCATTCACCTCCTTCATGAGCCTACCATTCACTCAACCATGAGTCACTGGCACCATTTTTGCAAACCATCTTGCAAAACACAGAAGTTCAAGTATTTATATCCAAAAATAGATAGTATTCACCTTCTTACTATTAGCAATTGTACAGAAGCTTCAGCAGACTCCAGCCGCAGTTCCACAGCAACAAGCAAAACCTACGCAGCAGCAGCAGCAGCATCAGGAGACATCACAGCCTCTTCATCCCCGCAATCTTGATCAACACCTATTACTCCGAGAACACAGCATGGAAAATATAAAATAAATTTAAATTATAAAATCATAAAAAATTTCAAATACATTAGAAAAAATTCATGCTTCAAATAAAAAATTATACATAATTCAAACACCTTAAAATATATATTTAGAAGAAAAATTCATATATAGTTTAAGTAACTAAATAAACAATTCAAATTTATACTATTTATATCAACTATTTTAATATTTAAAATAATAAAAAATAAAATACTATGACTCTAATTTTGGTCAAAGTGAAGTTCTAATTCTAATTCTTTATTCAAATAAAAAATATTTTCTAATCAAATACTTATAACCTTGGGCTTACATGGCATTATCAAATTATATTAATCATTATTGACTCTTCAAGAGAGAATGAGTCACCAATTTAAAAACTATCCCATCACAAAAACAAATGCTATATTATCAAAATAAAAGAAGATAGGCGGCAAGCAAAAGAATGAAACTGTGAGAAAAACATCCTTTGCTGCATAATCAGGTATAGGGATAGACAAACACACACATACTTAACCGTGATTGGCTTGTCTTTTATTCCTATTCATGTTCTGAAGAGGCTAAATTATGTAAAAATTGTTAACTTGGTGGTGAAATCACCACCATATTCATGTTCTGAAGGGGCTAAATTATGTGAAATCACCGTCATATTTTACCTGATTTTACTTGATTGTATCTAGATTTTATTTATTATTGAATTTTTTGAATAATTTGATATATTAAATTTATATTAACTAGTAAAATTATATAATTTTACGAGTTAAATTTTAATTTTAATAACTTTACCTATTTCACTAATATTCAAGATGATAGAGATAACACCCCTAATAACTATTTCAGAGAGTTTAATAACTATTTTATTTTAAAATAATAACTTATTATATATAAAAACTATAATTGCAGTTCAAGACTAATAAGCTTTCATAAATTAAAAATTCTATAAGTATTGAAGGATTTTTTATCCTATAGTTATGGAAAGTCAATAATTACTCATTTTATTTATATATAGAATATCATGCACAAACAATTTAATATTCTTATAAATAGTTAAATTAATCAAATCTTAATTTTTTTTTAATAGTTATGAATTCAAGTAAGTTAATTTGAACATTTAAAATTAATAAAAGTAAGAATAAAAATAAAAATGTAATTTGCTCACGGTTGTATCTTTTTATCATTGAAAAGCAGAACCAAAGTCTTTCCTCATCAACAGCAATTCTAATTTTTCTCTTTTACATAATGCTCACTTTGGAGCTACCTTAGGTGGATACTCTCTGCTTTCACTCCAATCTTTTTTTAAAAAGAGATTCTTTGTGAGAAGAGATTTTTTTTAAGAGAGAGACTAATCTTTTGTCTTAGAAATAAGGAGAGCCAGTCAATACCAAGTGGTTATTCAAGTGAAAAGAATCAAGAAATGGGTTTTGTTTCGGAGAAGGAAGAAGAGAATCAGTCCCTATCCATGGGAAGAAATACCAAAGCTTCTTTAATGGGTGGTTCTTGGTGGTGGCAAAATGTGAAGCCATTTGTGAATGGTGGATCAGCAGCATTACTAACAGAACTACAGTTTCTCTTGGTGGATTCTGCTATCTATTACCTTGGAAGTTATGAAAAGGAATCTGCGGCAAAGGCCTTTAAGCAGCTGCCTCACCTTCAAAATTTCAAGGTTGGCCTGTGTTTTCCTTTTATTTATGCAAGTTTTCTCCTTTATATATATATATGTGTGTGTGTTTGTGTGTGTATGAAGGAAAAGAGAGGAAAAGAACTTCCTTTATGTAGAGTAGGCATATTGTTTAAAATTTATGGTTGGTTTCAGAGAGAGGAAGAGAAGCAAGGCTCTAACTTTACATTGAAAATCAGTGAATGTGTAGTAAGGCAAGCATATGTGTATTATTGAGTTGAGATTTTCGCTCTCATTTCTTGAGAAAAAAAAGTACATTAAGGAAAACCATTACCATTCTTCCATGGGGATCTTCTTTCTAGTTGGGATTTTCATTATTTAATTTGTGCTAATCATGTAGTCATTAATGGATTTGCTTTACATAGCAGGACCTATCCTAGATTTTATCATTTCATTTCTAGATTCACATATATCATGATAATGGAGTGTATGATATCTATACACATTGCTATGCTAGACCGGAAAGTTTTTCATCAGTTCTCTAGCGGTTGAACTAGGAATTTGATCTGGTTTTCCTCTGCAAACTTATTTCATAGTAACTTCGATCTTGTTCACTATATTCCATTGTTTAAGAGGAGGGTTTTTCCATCCAAAGCCCTTTACACATCATTGCTTTCTTTAATCAAAAGCGTTCATCAAAACGTCAAACTCTACCGTTTCCATTGGATTTATTAGCATTAGCTTGGATGAACATACAACAGCATTGATCTAACATTACTTCAAACTTACAGAAAAGGCAAGTTTACATTCCCTTGGAGCTACCATCGGTGCTATGACATTCGGATCATTCGAGCAAGTGACTAAGAGTCTTTGTTCCACGAGTACCAGTCTATGCAACCTGCAGGAAAATAAAATGATCAGTATTGGCTACATGACCACAATTCTTATCATAAATGTTTGTTGTGATTTGGTTGGTTAGAAAGGGTTTTTGAGAATATAAGCAAATAGATAAAATCATCAATTGCTTCTTTTCTCTCATATGTTTATCCATGGTGTTGAACTGGAACTTCCTGTTAACAGTGATGTCTTTGGTTTTACTAGGATTTTGACCAGAAAGGCCATTTCTGCCAATCATGGTATACCTCTAGGCATTCATCAGGAAGCCTGCATTTGCCGGAACTGTTGGAGCATGCGTGGCTGCTCCAATAGCTACAGCCTTCTATCATGCTGGGACTAAGATAGTACCAGGGGCAAAAAAGCTGACTTATGGGGATGTCTTCAGAGCTTAATCAAGGGCTTTCAGCATTATGGAAACATGGATTATTTTGGGATTTCACAGCATTTTAGGCAGGCATGCTCGCTCCATATAATCGAAGTTACCATTATTTTAAGGTTTCCCGTGGTTTTGGTGAATTTCAAACTCAAATGAGCAAGTTCTCTTCTTTCAGAAAGAATTTATTGTTTGTTTGTTTGATGACTAGGATTGGCTGTGTGCGTGTAAGATCATATAGCAAATTTCATCACACACACATTTGATATCTTTTGTTTCAGGTGCAGGTGCTGTTTCAGCATTTGCTGCCTCAGCCTGTTGTGTACCGGTCAAGAATGTTCGATCATATATGTAAGCTATGAGACCCAATGCTGATGGAAAGTCCCCGTTCACAAGCTCTCTGGTCTGTGCCCTGAAAGCCGTGAAAGCTAGAGGGCTTGTGGGACTCTACAAAAGATTTCCACTGTTTCTTTGCAGGAGTTTACCTGCTACCATGGTACTCCCTCTTTCTCTGCACAGAAGCTCATCCACACATTCATGTCCACATTTCAATTCCAAGAGTTGTTGGATGTATTTGTTCACATGGGAAGTCATCTTTTAATTTCTTCATTCGAACTTTGCCGATTGGGTTGGGCATGGCTGCAGATCACATGAATGATGTTAGAAGATATCCGGGACTTCGAGGAATTTGCTGTTGGGTATGCGATCAAAGTTCCACATTGGTTAGAAATGGGGAGGATGAAGGGTATATAAGGATAGACAAATATCTCCATTGAAATGAGGCCTTTTGGGTATAACCCAAGAGCAAATCCATGAGGGCTTAGGTCCAAAGTGGACAATATCATACCAATGTGGAGATATGTGGTGTCCGTAATCCTTACATTTGCTGGATTGTAGTAGCTCAAGAGTATCCAAGGAGGAGCTGCTCCCTTGATCCTACTCATAGTTTTAGTATTTGCAAGCAAGGTTTTGACTTGTCAAGAAAACCGTGTTGGCAGTAAAATTGTTCTAGTAGCTGAACGCACTATAAGGGTGATGGTGCCTAGGGCCAACATAAGATGGTTAACAATGAAGTTTTTCTTTTTAATCTCAACCAAACATTGTTTGAATGCTAACTAATTTACATGAAATATAATGACTCAAATCAGAACTTATGTGAACCAACTCTAACCGCCTCATGCCATGCCCAACCGAACCACGGAAATAGAACTACCTCCTCACTTTTTCATCCCCTCCTCCATCCATCCTTATTTCATACTGTGATTACAGTTTTCGGACCATGGCTAGCAGGCAGCTTCACAGGAAGGAAACATGTCAAAATTTATAACTTGATAAAAATAGAATTCTTATATGCTAAAAAGAAAAATCTAATATAAAATAATAGAAGCTGCATTGCATAAAGATTAGAATTCACATTGATGTCCATATGAAGCTCTTCTATCTTCGTGATAAGCCACTAGCAAGCTCCATCCATCTTCTTACTTTTTGACAAATATACTTATATTTCATAAAGGCAACAGAGAACTGTGCAGCTCATACATTTGTCCACAATCCAGTCTGACAAACACTATATCCTGCAGAAGCTTCGTCCTGCCTTCGAGTCTTCGACTGCACATATGACAGTTAAAATAGTCGACTTGGTGTTAGTTTTGGAAAAATAAACACTAAACTGCAAAATGTAAAATGATATGTCGATAGAGTAGAGAAAACTATTGGAAAGATAAACACTAAGCACATGCTAAAAATGGTTGGATGGCTATAGATTTTGTGTTTGATAAGTATATATTTTGTTCACATATAATAAAAGCTAATAAGATATTGGTTTTAAGTGTTTAATTGATAGCTTCTAATAAGTTATTTACCATCCACAAAGTTTAAAAATTTACAAATAAATTCAACAATAAAATAAAAGCTAAGAACTAGTGCAACCGATCATCATCATATTCTCAACAATTTAGCTGCCTTCCAAAAAACTTTAATTAAAGCATCCCTTTATCTCAAGAAATACAGAAGATTGGAGGTTTGAAAACACAGAGTTTCCGCCTGTGGAAACTACTTCTTTTTCTCTTTTTTATTCCTCAAAAATCACATTGACTTTATGTATCAACTAGTTGCCATATCCGCATGGTACTGCGTGATCATTATACATTGTTATAGATTTATAGAAAAAATCATAAAAATATATTTTTAAAAAATTATATGGAGATAACTATTACAATTCACAATATTTTTAAGAAAAATTATAATATAAAATTAAATTTTTAACTAGTTTAATATTAAAAAAATAGATAGATAATTTTTAAAAAATCATAAAAAACAAAAGAAAAAAAATCATGTAAAGAAACACTGCATTAATCTATAATATTTTGTAAAGAAATATACAATTATAATTTTCAACCAGTTCAAAATTAAAAAAATAAAATCAATAAAAATAATTTTGAAAAAAATCATAAAAAACAAAGGAAAAAAAATCTATGTAGAAAAACATTGTAGCAATTTATAGTATTTCATGAGAAAATCTACGGTTATAATTTTTAACTAACTCAATATTAAACGGTTATAATTTTCAACTAACTCAATATTAAAAATAATAAAATCAATAAAAATAATTTTTAAAAAATAGTAACAAAAAAATCATGTGAGAAAATACTTTAGCAATCAACGGTGTTTTTAAAAAAAAAAACTACAAAGCTAAATTTTCAACCAACTTAGTATGAAAAAAATTAATTAGACAAAATTAATTTTTAAAAAATCAATAAAAAAACATGTGGGAAATATTGTAGCGAGAAAAAAAATCATGTGAAGAAATACTATAGCAATCCATAATATTTTTTTTTAAAAAAACTATAAAGCTAAATTATTAACCAATTCAATATGACAAAAACTAAAATTGACAATGACAATTTAAAAAAAAAAAAAAAGAAAAACCATATGACACCGTATCAATCAATAGTGTTTTAAATAAAGAACTGTAAAGCTAAATTTTCAACCAACTCAATATTAAAAAAATAAATTTCAACAAAAACAATTCTGAAAAAAATACAAAAAGAAATCAATTTTAGAAAAAAAGCAAAAAGAAAAAAGAAAAAAAAATTAAAGCTAAATTCTCAACCAACTTAATATATTAAAAAAATAAATTCAATAAAAAAATTTAAAAAAAACATGTAGAAAAATATTGTAACAATATACAATATGTTTTTTTTTTTTATAAAAAAACTACAAAAATAAATCATCAAGCAGCTTAATATAAAGAAAATTCAAAAATGATTATTTTGGATAAAAACCATAAAATGTTTTTATAAAAAAATATTTTAGTGATTCATAATTTTTTTTAAATAACAGAGCTAAATTCCCAACTAGTTTAATATTAAAAAAATAAGTAAAAATAATTTTGATAAAAATATATAATTTTTTTTAAAAAGTACATCATGGGAAAAAGACATGTAAAAAAAACAATAATATTAATATAACAAAAATAAAAAACATGGGAAAAACTACAATATTTTTTTTAAAGTATTATTAAATAAACAAAAATATTATTACAACGAAAATAAAAAGCATGAGAAAACTACTCTATTTTCACCACACCATTTAGATTATTGTTATAACGACTGTCCTGTCCTGCTATTTTACATTTCCTCTTGTTGCCTTGTTAAATGACCAGTCAAAGCTTACGGGCATGGCAGCTTTTGTACCTTGCTTTGGTGGCGCAATAAAGTTTTATACACAGATGAAAGCCCACATCTTGGATGGAAGTGAAATTTTTTTTTTTCTAAGAATAAAGGCTTGCTTTAAGGTTAGTTTTGTGTCGTTTATTTATTTATTTTTATAAGAATCAAAGCTTGCTTTAAGGTTAGTTTTGTGTCGTTAGTATATGAAAATGAAAACAAAGCGTGTATTCATGTTTGTTTGGTTAGTGTCCAGCGATAAAAATAATATATACATAAAAAATAAAAACAGATATCTATATCTATTATTATTATTATTATTTTTGTCTCGAGACAATTTGAATCCTTTAAGTAATGTTTCCTTGGTCTCGAGTACTCATATAATTTTATGCAAATATAAATTACATACACACTCAAGGTAAATAAGCTACCTAACCACTTTATGCTAGCAGAAGCTACACAGATTGGTAATGGTAGAGGGCAGGTGAAGTTTCTTGCAGATTAAAATGAAATAAGCTAGAAGGGTACCAAATTGCAATCACTACTTCACTTACTTTTCCAAAACACATCATGATGACAATCACACCATTTCACGTCTGCTTCAACAATTTGATTTCATTTATAGCGGAATAAAATCAAATTTAGCCTTGGATCTAGCAGCAATGGTGCAGCATTTGGTTTTTTGTCATTTTACTATAAAACAACCAGTTAATAAGAAAATAGTAATCTGTCCAAGAATTTTGGAGATTAGGTCTGACATTAAAAGGAAAATGCTTCAATACAATGTTGAAGTACTCTTGTTGAAACAAAATTTCTAGACTGATGGTAGGTGTCGAGGGCTCTAAAAGCTAGTCCTACATTTTCCAATTCTGCATGCAAAACATATCCTCTTGTTTAGGAAAGAAGTTGAAAAGAATACCATATGCCCCATAATTTCTAAAGAGAACCTCGTGCTCTAGTGAAAAGTACCCAAAAAAAGCATGCATCGATAGAAAAGAACCAAGCAGAACGGTATGCAGTAAGCTGCAGTGCCTGGCTCCAATGCAAAATAAAGGATTTTGTATTTTCAATTTTCTCCTCTGGAAAGTAGCCCTGGGCTAAGGTTATTTGTTGGCCCTGAGTAAAAGAACAAAACAAATCAACAAAGCAACAAAATGATACTAATAACAATCGTTTACAAATCGTTTACAAATTATGAAAGGGCAAGCATGTTTATCTGTACATTATTATTGGGTGTGTGTAAAAGAAACGAGAAAACTTAAAAGGCCTTAGACATGCCAAGTAATTAAAAGAAACAAAGACCAGAACTAGCAATTCCCAAATTTGAAAGAGATATAATCTAATTTACCTGGTAACAAACGAGCCATCTTCAGTATTGACAACAACTGCTTCTCCAGTCTCAATGTATGTAGGTACCTGATGTTTCAGAAGATAGATAAGATAATAATGAAGCTTTTAAAAGTTCGTACCAAACCTATTGTGGCTGTTTACGAATCGACACTTAAGTGTATTCAAAGACTCAAGATATACACACACGAGATCCAGTGCACCCTTAAACTTCAAAATAAATCCAAAGTACATTTTCCTTCTTGATAATCCAAAATATAAATCAATTAACAAGCAAGCACTTCTATCCGAATGGCTACATTAATTCAAAATTTTATAGCCTTAAGCATCCATTTTACTCGATAAATGTTTGCACCTAAACCAGTATCTGTTTAGATACACTCTAACCCTTAATTGCAGTTTTCTACTTGCTCATACACACACACGAGATCCAGTGCCCCTTAATTGCAGTTTTCTACTTGCTCATAGTACAGAATTAGTTTACAATAACTTGAACCAGGAAAAAAAGTCTTACTTGAATAATGAGACCATTGTCCAGCACAGCCTTTTTGTACCTACATCAAAGGGGGAAGTGTTGACGACAGGGTTTACAGTGACAAGCGTACAAATAATCAAGTAGGTGAAAAGCTTTTTATGAAACATAATACATGAATATGAAGTTCAGTTATCAATCACATAAATTATTTTTTAATTGAATTCTGGTGTGCAGTCATAATTAATTATGAAGAGATATAAGATAGGGAGAAAAC